CACAGAGAGACACACACACACACCTGTGGTAGAACTGGCGGTGGGGCCAGGTCGTTTTCCAGCCCCGGTCCTTCACAGCCAGGGCCATCTGCTCAAGGTTCCGCGGGTTTCTGTTCACAAAGGTCGGGTTCACTTCTTCATTTTCATCTGCTCGGGGCTCCGGCTGAGAGGCTCCGTGACTCAGACACCGAGCTGGGAGACACAGACAACACTTACCGAGACAGAAACTGTGTGTGGATACTCGAGTTAAACTAAGTCAATGCGAACACAGTCAGTGTTAACAGCTACACCTGGAGCTGCTCACATACATTATATGTCTCATATAAAGGACGGTACTACCTGGACTCAACGTACCTGTCTCTGTGACCGGACGACATCGTTGAATGTGACCTACCAGCCGCCGTACACCGCGACTCATTTCACTCAAAGCCATCTCCTCCTCGACTGTGTTCACCTCATAAATTAAAATAAGTGCAGTCAATGTGCCCGGTAACGCGTTATGTCCCTATAGACCATGGAAACCGGCTCTTTTACTCTCGTTGGACAGAAAGTACCGTGATATTTACCGTCAATGCACGTGAAGAGCCATCTTTGACATTCGGACAACATCCGGTTCGGACCCGGTGCTGCTTTAGAAGCCGCACTGACGGAAACAAACACCAGCGAGGAAGCAGTTCCGTTTACATGTCTGTGCATTTCTGTGCATACAGTCACTTTCGGTAGTAGTAAGTAGATTAAAAAAGTGATTCAGTACAATTCTGAGGTACTTTTATACCAGTTTATACTTTTTTTACCCCACACCACATATATTTGACAGCTACAGTAACTAGTTAGTTTGTAGATTAGGATTGTCTTAAAACTATGAGGCATTATTAAAAAGTAACCTATATACTTTATGTAGGGTAGTTAAATAAGCTTCATCTATGTCAGCTACATTAAAATGCCTTTTACATGTTAATTAATCAATACTAATCAAATAATGTGACATATATATATATCACTTTGACTAATTAAAATATTTTTACTTCTGATATGTACAGTACACAATATTATAATAATATAATATATATTAAATGATATTTTTACACTTTGGTAATGCTCTTTATACTAAGTAAAATATTTGAATACTTCTTCCATCATTAACATCACAAATGAATCATACATAACACAATAAATGGCATCCTGTTTAGGGAATGACTTCCCACAATTAAGATTATACAAGGAGATCATATTTAATTTCAGTTCAAATTCAATCCATTTTACAGTGCAAACCGGCAGAAAAAAAACAAACAGATAAATGTCCAGGCCAGAGTTTTGTTTAAAATAGTAGCATGATAATGGATGTTATGATCTGTCCAAAAGACTTAGTAGATAAACAAGCACTCAGTCCCAGTAAGGCACATGAAAAAATACTTACTATCAATAAATACCTGTTGAGTGTTGTGCTTGGAAGACATGACAATGAGGTGGAAAAGTATCTTTGGCTCATGAAGATCATTCAGATAATTCCCTGCCATAATTTTAAGAATCCTACAGGACCGGCTAATTAAAGCACAATACACCAATTCAACAATCATACATTCCCTTAAACTGCAGAACAGATTCATTAATTGATGTGGTTTCCCTTTTTATAATGAGTGTCTATAATATATGTTCATACAGTGAAGAGCTGTAGAAGAAACAAAGAACTGATTACTATTTTTTGAGCTACTTAAAGAGTAATTAGAAAGCAGTACAGGACACAGATAGTAAAAGAAATAGCAAGGGATACAAAAGTAGATTTTTTTTCATTTCATATAATGCATTTGTAATTCATTATATAGAGACTCATTTTCATTCTGCTGATGCAAAAATAACAGTCGGTACCATCATGATTATTTTGCAAGTGAATTCAACCATTTCATAGCCTAAAGACATTATAATACCATGGTTAGGACAGGGAAACAAAGTCATTCCGATGTGTGTAGTTGTAGTCCAAGTACTCAATAATATACATAAGTTAACATAACCGTTTGGCAATCCTAACTCATCATTTGGCCGATCATACAGCGGCAGATGCGTGGATCAGAGATGAGAAAGAGAACGGGCTCAGCTTGTACCCTGATCCACTGTAGAACTTGTTCTGAAACTCCACCCTGTAAGAGAGACAAGCAAAGTCAACAAGCAAAGTCAACAAGCAAATACAATTTACAGCACATGATCCAATGCTATCCACCCACTCCATTTCTCTACATCTCTTCGCCAAAAACCTGTCTGTAATTTATTCTAAAGCTTTTTTGTTTAAAAAAAAAAAAAAAAGATTCATTTGGTGACAACTGACATTGACAGTGACATGACACAACATTTTAATCCAGTCTTCGTGGTTTCTAAATGGTTGGTTTGGCAACCTCTGAGTCCTTTGTGTAGCACCTCCACAAAGCAAAATTAAACCATTAATACACAAGAAATATCAAAATGTAATGTCCATGAAATGTGCTGAGCACTTTCATCCTACATAAAGGAGGAACATTTCCTGCAGCACTCTTCATGCTGCAGTCAGTAACTTTTATAAAAATATTTTATTGTCATATTCACTATATCCTGACAGTGGTACATAAGGCAGATAATCAGTGTAAAACATCTGGTTCCTGTAGCTTCTCCTCGTGCTTCCAATGGCAAGAATCCACCAGGCCTGAGCGAAAACAACCAATCAGTAGCCCGAGAAAAGAGTAGTTGATTGTTGAGTCTCATTCCCAGGTTGTCAAATACCTGTTGCTTTGGGTCCCAGACCTTTAAGCCAAAAGGTTAACTTTACATGCAAGATGGAAAACTCAATAAAAATAAGTAAACTGCCATGACTGCACATTGATCACCTCTGTCACATTGGTCAGGTGACTAGGTGAATGGACAACAGAGTGCAATGTACGCAACTGTATAACTTTGATAAGTGAAACCCTTGACTCCAAATGTATAAGGAAGGTCTGTTAACATTTAGTACAAGCCTAAATTACAAACTACTGTATGATGAAAACAACAACAGTGCAGAGCCTCATGTGAAGCAGAAAGTCCAAGATCTCTGTGTACACAGTTATGTTGAATACTGCCATTAGTTACAGAAACTGGCAGGCTTAGAGTTTATTATGTGATTTAGGTGAGAATGAAGACGAAGTGCATTTCAAATTTTATTGTTCATTAGACGAAGATTTAAGGGCTACACACGGCCCATTTGTTATTATGATACGTTCTACTGGTTGGATGATCAAACCTTGAGTTGTGTTTTAGGAAAAGAAAATCTTCTTTGTGGCTTGTTGGGAGAGAAGACAAAGTGCTTTGTTTGCAATGTAATGTTGAAGTTCTGTACTTGTCTGTTCCTAATTTTTGTGGTTTTGGTGTCTTATAAGTTCATAAATAACAGACTATCTAGCTAACCCTTTCAAACATGGACTCTCAGTGCAGATATCCAGCCTACGTATTTAATCCTGCTTTGTGAGACATGGCATCCTCACCAGTGCAGACGGAGCGCGTGCAGGAAAGCTGAGAGCCCCTCCATAACCAGCAAGATGGAGATGGTCAACACACCAAAGAAGGCGAAAACCACAAAGAGGACTGCAGATCCCACATAGCCCTGCCACCTCAGGGCAATACGCATCACCATCACCCACAACACCTCTGACAGCTCTGTGGGAGACAGACATAACTCACTGTGAGACAGCCACGTGTGTATGAATAACTGGCTGAAAAAAGAAGTGCGTTTTAGAGAGGAAGTCTGTCCGTGTGTGTGTGTGTATCATGTGAGTATGATAGTGTCTGTGTGTGTCACTAACGTGCGTGTGCCAGGCTGAGAGCCCAGAGTCGGAGGTAAGAGGCAGTGTTAGAGATGCAGCCCAGGCAGTACTCTATGGTGTGGATGGCCTGATGCATGAACACGTCTGCCGCATCAAACTCCTGCAAACAGAACAGTTTAAAACACTTACACAAGAGTCACGACATCACGTGCATCTCTTACCAGATTTAATGTTTAAGAAGTTACTCAGGCTTCTCCCCTACCGCCTCTTCAACTGTTCCTCCCTCCACCTCCCCCTGACGAGTGTTGATAGAGCCTTCGTCAGCCACAAGTGGACGTCTGTCTTCCTCCTGATGTCGCAGAGAACCAGAAATCATGTCAGAAAATACATCCAACTCTAAAGAAAGGGTTAAAGTTCCAGTCGAACACAGACTCACCACTTGACGTCGTCTATTCTTGAATGTGAAGTATTGACACATGGGTTTCCCTAGCAGGAGGACCGGGACAGAACACAGGGCCAACACCACCAGGACCTTCTGCACCACAATCTACACAATGGAGAGTTACAGGAGCAGCTGTTAAGCTTTTGAGCAACACATGCTCACTTTAGCAAGCTATAACACTACAAATTATTGTCCACTTATTAACTACTTACTAATAGCACATGCTTTTCACTTCTGCAAACCATTTCCCAAAGCATAGGTTGTTGTTTTTTTTAGGTTTAAGGGCTTTTATTTTCTACCTTCCAGATGTTCACTGGTTTCAGTTCATATCTGTAAAGTATGAAAATGAGCTTGCAGAGACATGAAACATTGATATTATTCCTCACAGTGAACATTTCATTGTCCTTTTGTCTTATTACATTGTCGTTTAATAAAACAAAATGAGCAAGAATTAATCGGTTTTTGTTTGGTCCATAAAATATCAGAAAATAGTGAAAAATAATGATCACTGATTCCCAAAGTGACATCCTCAAATGTTCAGTTTACTGTCATAGAGGACCAAAGAAACCAGAAAATATTCATATTTGAGAAGCTGAAATCAGAGAATTAATCAAATATAAAAAAGGCTTCCAATGAGTTTAAAAATTGACAACAAATAGAATAATCGATCTCTGTTGTTAATGCAGTTAAAGCATTGATTGTTTTAAGAAGTCTACTGGTGTAATCACGTGTTTATAGGAAACTTGGACACCTGAGGTTTGAGAGTAAACTGCCAAACAATGAATGGTAAAAACTGTTGCTGACTAACTTTCTTGGATGCTTTAACATAACAATTTTGGATCATTTTCAAAAATATCCTGGAAAAATTAAATAACCATGACTAAAAACAATACAGACTAAATGTTCACTGTGATGGGTTCCATGTCTCAAGCAGGTTTCATGCATCTTCAAGCTGACTTTTAATACCATACTAACAAAATTAAATAAATTAAAAATAGCTGGTGGCTATGTCATGCATAAACAACCACACACACCTGTCCTGTATAGAGAGGTGGATTCTCAGGGTTGTCTGTGAAGAGGAACATGTCTATGAAGTGGATAAGTATACTGGGAGCGATTTTGGACTGGGCGGGAGTGTAGGCAATCCACTTGAAGACCACCATGAACACCAGGTATCCAAACAGACACACCATGAAGAACAGTTCAGGGATCAGCACAAAGAACACACTGCTAATCTGGCCAAAGTGCCTGGAGGAAACACAGCAACAACAAGGGAAAGCAGGAACGAGGATATGTGAAGGCAGGTAAGAATAAATATAAATACAACAAAAACTAAAACATTCAAATGTTATTACTTACCAATAGTTGAAGAATGACAAGCAGACTCCAAACGTCATGTGAATGACACCGATGACGACTGACATCTTCA